CTAAAATTCCTCCCCCTTCCTCCAATTCCTCCCTTCCCTATGGGCTAGGATTCCAAGGCATTTTCTGGATTCTGCATTTTTTTAAACAGCCGTGGCAATTTGGCAATTTCAGCATTTAGTGCCCATCCCTAAATGCCCTCATGAAGGTGGTAGGGAGCTGCCTTCTTGAATTGCTGCAGTGCTTAGGGTGCAGTTATGTTCGCGGTGTTGTTAGGGAAGGATTTTAACCCGGCAACAACGAAGGAACGGCGATATATTTCCAAGTCAGAATGGCGTGTGACTTGGTGGGGAACTTGGAGGTGATGGCGTTCCCATCTGTCTGCTGTCTTTGTGATTCTTGCTGATAGAAGTCACACCTGGATGAGTTGCTGTAGTATTTAAATGAGCCCAGTTCTTCAATATTGATGATTGATCACAGTTTTTAATAATTTCTAAATTCTAAGGGAAGCTGCAGCACTCATGATGGAGTAACTTGCGTCACTGAAACTAACCATGAGTTCAATGAATTCTTCATTGTATCTTTTTTCAACATGCTGGTCAATTCGACTCTTCACTGTCCCATTCATAATTCATATTTCTCTGGGTTGCAAATTGCCATTAGTCTGCTGCTAGTCTCACTATTGGCCCTTGCAATCATTCTCTGTCAATCTAAAATATTAACTCAGAAGAGTGAGCTCAACAGAAGATCTTGGGGAGTTTTTAAAAGGCTCAAAGCTGGATTTAGATGCAGCTAAACATGGCATGATCAATTCATTCTCTACTTATATTCTCCTCTCATTTTCCCCCTTGGACCAGCGTTGAAAAAAAAGTCAGGTGAGATCAGTTGTGAATAAAGCCGAACATTTGTAATGAAATTCATAATCCAAGGCAATGAATGTGCTTGGAGCATTTTCAATTTTAAAGCTGTTCTATTTCGAGTCACAGAGATGTACAGCACAGAAACAGACCCTTCAGTCCAACTCGTCCATGCTGACCAGGTATCCTAAATTAATCCAGTCCCATTTGCCAGCATTTGGCTGATATTTCTCCAAACCCTTCCTATTCACATACCCATCCAGATGAATTTTAAATGTAATTGTACCAGCCTCCACCACTTCCTCTGGCAGCTCATTCCATACACACATCACCCTCTGCGGGAAAATGTTGGCCCTTTAGTCCCTTTTAAACCTTTCTCCTTTTACCTTAAACCTGTGTCCTCTAGTTTTGGATTCACCTACGTTGGGAAAAAGACCTTGGCTATTCACCCTATCCATGCCCCTCATGATTTTCATGATGTGGGGGTATTGGTGTTGGACTGGGGTGAACAGGGTCAGAAATCACACAACACCAGGTTATAGTCCAATGGGTTTATTTGAAAACATTAGCTTTCTGAGTGCTGCTCCTTCCTCAGGTATAGTGTGGAAGAGGAGGTATACTGACACAGAATTTATAAGCAGAAAGGTAACAACCCTAAAATTGGCTCACCGACAGCCTCCTGTTGAACCTTTAATCCCTTATTCATTCATGGGATGAGGGTGTTGCTGGCTGGGCAGCATTTATTGCCCATCCCGAATTGCCCAGAGGGCAGTTAAGAGCCAACCACATTGCTGTGGGTCTGGAGTCACATGTAGGCCAGACTGCATAAAGTTGGCAGCTTCCTTCCCTAAAGGACATGAATGAACCAGATGGGTTTTTCCGACAATTAACAATGGATTCATGGTCATCATTAGATTCTTAATTCCAGATATTTATTGAATTCAAATTCCACCATCTGCCAAGGCGGGACTCAAACCCAGGTTCCCAGGATGTTATCTGGGTCTCTGGATTAACACAGGTTTCTATTGATTAAAGTGCAAATCCCAGAATTTCTTTCATGTCATTGCCCCGAGATACTTGAAGGTATTTTCAATGTATACAAGAGGTGACATCTCAGGTCAGCAAGCCACTTTGGGGTTGTTACCTTTCTGTAGCTGTCTTACAACCCTCTTGCAAACAAGAGGAAAAAACATACTTGACCTTATCCTTACCAATCTGCCAGCTGCAGATGCATCTGTCCATGACAGTATCGGTAAGAGTGACCATCGCACAGGCCTTGTGGAGACGAAGTCCCACCTTCACATTGAGAATAAACTCCATCATGTTGTGTGGCACTATCACCGTGCTAAATGGGACAGACTTTGCACAGATCTAGCAACTCAAGACTGGTCATCCATGAGGCGCTGTGGGCCATCAACAGCAGCAGAATTGTACTCCAGCACAATCTGTAACCTCATGGCTTGGCTTATCCCCCACTCAACCATTACCATCGAGCCAGGGGGTCAACCCTGGTTCAATGGAGAGTGCAGGAGGGCATGCCAGGAGCAGCACCAGGTATACCTGAGGATGAGGTGTCAACCTGGTGAAGCCACCAAACAGGACTACATGCACGCCAAATAGCGAAAGCAGCAAGTGATAGACAGAGCTAAGCGATCCCACAACCAACAGATCAGATTTAAGCTCTGCAACCCTACCACATCCAGTTGTGAATGGTGGTGGACAATTAAACAACTCACTGGAGGAGGAGGCTCCACAAATATCCCCATCCTCAATGATAGAAGAACCCAGCACATCAGTGCAAAAGATAAGGCTGAAGCATTTGCAGCAATCTTCAGCCAGAAGTGCCGAGTGGATGATCCATCTCGGCCTCCTCCAGTGGTCCCCAGCATTACAGATACCAGTCTTCAGCCAATTCAATTCACTCCACATGATATCAAGAAACGGTTGGAGACACTGGATACTGTAAAGGCTACGGGCCCTGACAACATTCCGGCAATAGTACTGAAGACTTGTGCTCCAGAACTTGCCGCTCCCCTAGCCAAGCTGTTCCAGTACGGTTACAACACTGGTATCTACCCGACAATGTGGAAAATTGCCCAGGTATGTCCTGTACATAAAAAGCAGGACAAATCCAACCCGGCCAATTCCCGCCCCATCAGTCTCCTCTCGATCATCAGTAAAGTGATGGAAGGTGTCACCAACAGCGCTATCAAACAGCACCTGCTCAGAAATAACCTGCTCAGTGACGCCCAGTTTGAGTTCTGCCAGGGCCACTCAGCTCCTGACGTCATTACAGCCTTGGTTCAAACATGGACAAAAGAGCTGAATTCCAGAGGTGAGGTGAGAGTGACAGCCCTTGACATCAAGGCTGCATTTGACCGAGTGTGGCATCCAGGAGCCCTGGCAAAACTGGAATCAATGGGTATCAGGGGGCAAACGCTCCGGTGGTTGGATCATACCTGACACATAGGAAGATGGTCGTGGTTGTTGGAGTTCCGTCATCTCAGCTCCAGGACATCTCTGCAGAAGTTCCTCAGGGTAGTGTCCTAGGCACAACCATCTTCAGCTGCTTCATCAATGACCTTCCCACAAGGTCAGAAGTGGGGATGTTCGCCGATGATTGCACAATGATCAGCACCATTCGTGACTCCTCAGATACTGAAGCAGTCCATGTTCAAATGCAACAAGATTTTGACAATATCCAGGCTTGGGCTGACAAATGGCAGATGACACTCGTGCCACACAAATGCCAGGCTATGAGCATCACCGACAAGAGACAATCGAACAACTATCCCTTAATATTCAATGGTGTTACCATCACTGAATCCCCCACTATCAATGTCCTGGGGGTTATCATTGACCGGAAACTCAACTGGACTCACCACATAAACACAGTGGCTACAAGAGCAGGCCAGAAGCTAGGAATACTGCAGCGAGTAACTTACCTCCTGACTCCCCAAAGCTTGCCCACCATGTACAAGGCACAAGTCAAGAGTGTGATGGAATACTCCCCACTTGCCTGGATGAGTGCAGCCCCAACAACACTCAAGAAGCTTGAAGCAGCCTGCCTGATTGGTACCACATCCTCAAGCATCCACTCCCTCCACCACTGACACTCAGCAGTAGCAGCGTGTACTATCTATAAGATGCACTGCAGAAACTCACCAAATATCCTCAAATAGCACCTTCCAAACCCACAACCACTTCCATCTAGAAGGTAAAGGGCAGCAGACACATGGGAACACCATCCCTTGCAAGTTCCCCTCCAAAACACTCAGCATCCTGACTTGGAAATATATCGCCGTTCCTTCACTGTGGCTGGGTCATAATCCTGGAATTCCCTCCCTTAGGGCATTGTGGGTCAACCCGCAGCAGGTGGACTGCAGCTCATCAAGAAGGCAGCTCATCACCACCTTCTCAAGGGGCAACTAGGGACAGCGCAATAAATGCTGGCCAGCCAGCGATGCCCACATCACACAAATGAATAAAAAAAAGTTGACTCTTAACTGTCATCTGGGCAGTTAGGGATGGGCAATAAATGCAGGCCTAGCCAGAGATGCCCTCATTCAGTGACTCAACAAAAACAAACGTATGTGAGGAAGCAGGCCATTCAGCTCATTGAGTCTGCACTGACCCTCGAAACAGATCCACCCTATCCCTACATTTCCCATGGCCAATCCACGGAGCTTGCACATCATTGTGGACTGTGGGAGGAAACTGGAGCACCCAGAGGAAACCCACACAGACACTGGGAGAATGTGTAAACTCCCCCACATGGCCAGCCACCCCAGATATGGAATCAAACCTGGGTCCCTGGCGCTGTGAGGCAGCAGTGCTAACCAATGGGCCACTGTGCCACCCCAGAAGTGTGTTAAGAACATCCCTGAATCAGGTTGATATGGAAAAATATCCAGATCTAGTTCTGCACGGCAGATTCACAGTCTACTTTATGATTTCAAAAAATATATTCGAAAAATCTCTGCGTATATACATTGTCACAAATGCAGTTCGGTTCTGCATCGAGGAAACAAACAAAGGTTGGAGTTTGACTGTCCAAACAAACCAAACGCATCTCTTACACAGACAAGACTACACACAGCCCCAGGCACATGGGTGACTTTGCTGGAGCCGGAACTGGCTTGTATTTCCTTAGGGAAAGAATCGTTTTGGACCGGGGCATCGACTATCCCTCACCGCCCAGCAACAGCCGGAGCTCGGGAACCCCACTTTGCTGATCGAGAGAGGGCAGTAGGTGTGAAGTGGTTCAGTATTGAGCTGCAGACTGTAGAGTGAGGAGCAAATTCACCTTCCTTCCCCCCGCCACCCCGGAATGTGATTGGAGTCTGTTTGAATTTGTCTCTACGATGCTCTGAGAGCCGATTACCTGTGACTGATCTCGATTACACCCCCTCCCCGGTATCGGAACAAAAGTCATGTCTCGCCCAGCCGGGGCAGGTATCGATACCAACGCCGGACTGACCGAGCCCCCCACGGGCGGCGCGGAGACAGCCGCCGCCGGGGTATCGGTTACTAATCGGAGAGGTATCGAATCGATTAGTCGCGGAGGAGGAGCAGGGGCGGCAATGCTGGAGGTGGCCACCGATTCCGGGCTCTGGGCGAAGGGGAGAGCGGACGCCGGCTCCGGTATCGGCGCAGGTATCGGCGCCGATATGAACTTCACGGGCGAGGAGAGCCCCCCGTTCCTCACCGATTCCTGGCTGGTGCCTCTGTTCTTCGCGTTGATCATGTTGCTGGGACTAGTCGGAAACTCGCTGGTGATTTATGTGATCAGCAAACACCGGCAGATGAGGACAGCCACCAACTTCTACATCGGTAAGTATCGATTAGAATCGGGGATTTCCCTAAAAACAACTTGTACACGATGGAAGCGAGAGGCTTGTTTGTGAGGAGTCAGGTCTAGACTGCAGGGGAAAGGCAACATTTAGTGCCTTTTTAGCCAGATACCTAACCAGCCTGTGATTTTTTTTTTATTTCAAATATATATTTTGTTCCTTAAAAAATCTTCATTCATAGCCACAAGTGCACTTTGGTTCTGTACAATAGCATTTCAAAGAGACAAACAAACATTGGAGTTTGACTCTGTCCCAATAAACAAAGGCATCTCTTATTTGAACAAGCGTTTATTTACATATATTTGAGACATTGGGAGGGATAACTGAACAGACCCCCATTTACCTTCAGCAGGAAGACCTTAGACAGTGGTCTTTCCCCACTGCACCTTGCAGCCAAGCAGCTGCCCCAAGCTTTAATGTGTCCCTCAGCGGGGGACCTCGGAATGTGCCAGTCTGCAACACTCGGTCAGGGTCAACTCCTTGTTCTAGTCATGGGCACCTTACCCCTACTTCTCTCACCAGCTGAGGTTACATGAAGGATTCTTCTTGGCAGCCTCTTCCCTTGCCTGAGGCGTGCTGACCCACAAGTTAAACCACCACCCAGAGTAGCCCTCTGCTCTGGTAAGATTCTGGACATTTTTACTTCACCCCAAGAAAGCACACCTGCTGCAGCACAGACATTGTCAAGGGTTTAAAGGTTAAATTAAAGGACAGATGATTGACTTTGGCCTCATAGTGCCTTGAGTCTGGATGGTGGTGGGACTTTGTGAGATATCGAATGCAATTCTAATGCACTGTGAAGGGAGCAGACGCACAGAAAGTGGCTCAGTGGTTAGCACTGCTGCCTTACAGTCCCAGGGAACTGGGTTTGATTCCAGCCCTGGGTGACTGTCTGTGTGGAGTTTGCATATTCTCCCCGTGTCTGCGTGGGTTTCCTCCGGGTGCTCCACTTTCCTCCCACAGTCCAAAGATATGCAGTTTAGGGGGGACTGGCCATGCTAAATTGTCCCATAATGTCCAGGGATGTGCAGGCTAGGTGGGTTAGCCATGGGAAATGTGGGGGGTAGGTGGGGTGGGGTTGGGAGTCCATCTGGGTGGGATGCTGTTTGGAGGGTCAGTGTGGACTTGACTCTACACTGTAGGGATTCTGTGAAGTTGAATTTTTGTTGCACTTTTTATAATTTTCTAGTCAAAATATTTTGCAATGTATCTTTACAGATGTTATGAGTAAAGTTTGTCTTTGGATGAAGGAAGAGACCATTCAAAAATACTGTCAGGTATACTGTTCATCCCTCTCATTCTCCCTGAAATAAACTGCAGATGCTGGGTCGGTTGAAATTTTAAGGCTATGATCAGTAGCTTTATTAGTGAAAGGTAACCAGGGCTATGTATGGAAGGTGAGTAAATGGAGTTGCACATATTAAATAGGATTAAGAGTAGTTCTTTTGGGCCCACGAGCCTGCTCCACCATTTAATAAGGTCATGGCTTTTCTGCTTACTCCACATTCCTACCTAACCCTAATAACCTTTCGCAACCACCCCCACCTTGCTTAACAAGTATCTATCTCGCTCTGCCTTAAAAATATTCAAAGACTCTACTTCCAGCCCTTTTTGAGGAAGAGAGTTCCAAAGCTTCCTGATCCTCTGGAAGGGGGAAAAAAAACTCCTCAACTCTGCCCTAAATGGGTGATCCCTTTATTGTTTATCAGTGCATGTCAGATGCTGACGATCAGGTCCACCGCACTTTGTGGTGGGACAGACTCCAAGGGTGTTGCCAGGGTTGGAGGGATTGAGCCGTAGGGAGAGGCTGAATAGGCTGGGGTTGTTTTCCCTGGAGCGTCAGATGCTGAGGGGTGGCCTTATACATCATGAGAGACATGGATAGGCATGGACAAGTTGTTTCTGTGCCGTATCTCTCTATGAATCTATGACTGAATGAAGTACTCCTGCTCCTAATCTTTCTAAGAAATGTGGATTCCTCTCAATCACGCCCTTCTCATCACTGAACACAGTGTTTGTTCCACTGGCTCAACTGGGAAATAGGCAAACTTAGAATTGACCAAGAATCTCTTCAAATCGACAAATAGTGCTTGGAATGGGCTCTTGGCTGCAGAAGAAACAAAACTCTTCAGTTCAATTAAGGAAACATTTAACAGTGTGAAGTTGCTAGCTGCAATACTCACTTGCACTGAGCCCCAGTTTTCAATGTGAGAGTCACAGATTTAAAATCTCAAAAATATTCGGAACGATAATATCTCACCCTGTTCTACAAAACTTTGCGAAAACATAGATTTCTATTTAAAAATTCAGCAATTGGTGTCAAAAATCAGATATATGGTGCCTGTACTTATTAATACTCATGCCCTAGCTGAAATCCTCCCATCAGAAAGTCTATTTGTTCCAACAGGTTTGCTGGAAATAGCGCTGTATTCTCTAATCAATTGGAAGAAGAATAACTGCTCCAAGCAATGTAAAATCTCAGTTAACAATACTAGGTTAGCACTGTGGGAGAACTGCGCTGTTGGAGGAACCATATCTCAGATAAGATGTTAAACCCAGGAGCTGTCTGTCTGCTCAAACTAATCCAAGAGATCCCATTGCGCGATTTTGGAGACCTGGGGTTTAATGTCAATATTTATCCCCCAACTAACATCACTAAAAACAGATTGCAACCATAAATTGAACCGTTTTGGTTGAGCTGGTATATCAGATGACTTCATTTTTCCAGTGACAGCAACTGTCCTTTTGCATACATTCAATATAGAAGGTTAATCCACAACAGGCTATATATAATACCATGTTGAAAATCGTATTCTCTACAGGAGTTTCTCAGCATGTCCAAGACGACAGTCGGATGGATGAAGATGATGTGAATGTGTGAATTGGTAAATAAGTAGATATGCATCCCAGTCTATATAAAGAATGCACTTTTATTAGTGTGGGACAAGTTCAGATCCCATATAATCAAAGAGAGCAAGAGGTGCCACTGAAGAAATCATACCCAATGGCAGTCATAATGAAGAGTCCAATTTCCACAGCTCAACCTTGGCAGTTTGTAGAGTTATAGAGCCAGAGTTATTCAGCATGGAAACAGACCCTTCAATCCAACTCATCCATGACAACAAGATATTTTATGTTAATCTAGTCCCATTTGCCAGCATTTAGCCCATATCCCTCTAAACCCTTCCTATTCATGTACCCATCCAGATCCCTTTTAAATGTTGTAATTGTACCAGCCTCCACCACTTCCTCTGGCAGCTTTTTCCATACACACACCACCGTCTGTGTGAAAAAGTTGCCCCTTAGGTCCCTTTTAAATCTTTCCCCTCTTAAACCTATGCCCTCTAGTTTCGGATTCCCCTACCCTGGGAAAAAGACCTTGACAATTCACCCCATCCATGCCCCTCATGATTTTATACACCTCTGTAAGGTCACCCCTCAGCCTCCAACATTCCTCTGAACAAGCCATTCAAGCATCATGTTGGTTTCAAATGAATTTGGTAGATGGTTTACAGGTGAAAAAGAGCTTTGTGAAGACTTGAAATGTGTCTGCTGCTTGCGGATGTTTTGTGTGGGTTCAATTAAACACTTCAGAGAATTTGAAAGTTTGGACTGCGTTCTTGAGTATACATTTTTCTAACAAAGACACTTAACTGGTTTGTTTTGTTTTGATTCATAGATATATAAAATAATGCATACAGGAAAAAGGCAAGGTTAGGTTTTTTTTATGCAGAGGGTTGTAAATGAATCAGAATTTTATCACAAGGCGTAGTTATAGATAGGAGGTCCTGTGTTGTGGTGTGTAGTGTTCTTGCCTCTGTGCTAGATGTTCTAAATTCAAGTCAAACTAAGGAAGGTTTGTTTGTAATGTGGCAAAACAGGTTGATTAGCAACTTGTAAGTCTTTCCAACATACACCAATGTGTTATTGACCAGACCAGACCCCTTAAAAATATTTTAAGAAGGTAGCCTAGAGCCTAACTTTTTCTTATTTTTAAGGCAAATGTAAAGCGCCATGGTCCAGATACAATGTGACTGGTCAAACTACACGATGTTAAGCAAAACACAATTAATTTATACACTGCAGTTAAAATACAACCAGAGAAAGAGGAATTTAAAATAACTGTTGGAAAACTTAACTGAATAATAGATATAGCAACTGTTACTAATTAACTGTTCCAATATAGCAACATCCCATAAACACATCCCTTGGAAAAAAAAATGGAAAATTCACACGCAGGTTCTAACATGCAGTTCTCCAATACAGGGGGAAAAAGCATCATTAGAAAATTCAGAGAGAGTAGTAGCTAGGAGACATTCACTGAAGCTTCCAACTCTGTCGAGACTCCAATAGCTTCTGATGCCACTCAGAAATTTTCAGAGCTGGCCACACCCATTCAGGCTGCATTAAAAAAAACCCAAGGCCTCCCAAGCTATTTACACATGTGGTCTTAACTAGCCAGCTCAGTACTGTTGCCTTACAACCTTTCTTCAAAAAAAAAGGACAATATAGCATCTTAAAGTGACAGTATCGTCAGAAATGACAGGTGGTATAGCGTGGACAACTCACCTGGTTAGTCAAATGATGGAAAGACATTGGAGTTGCTACCATCACTATCCATAGCTACAACATGCTTGGAAAAGAGCATGTTGACACATGGCAACTTGGACTTCTGGGTGGGGTGCGGTAGGCTCAGACACCTGGATGGCCAGTATGGATCAGATCCGGGGTTTGAATCCCCGCTCCACCTGGGATAGACTGGGGCCCTGCTTCCTTGACCTACTGGACGAGGAGATGGCAGTGCTCTGGGTCAGAAGTGCCTTCAGGCAGAGAGCTCACAAAGTAGCAAGGGAAAGATAGGTGAACATTTGAAGTTATACAGAGTAATGGATAGAGAATGGGCCAGAGGAATTAGTTTCGGATTGGGCTTCGGGACACATGGATAACTGCCCCTTAAACACATTGAGTGTTCAGCCAGGA